ATGCTGTTGATTTATGTGGGTTTATTTTATATTCTACTCCTTTGCTAAAATTATTGTTTCAACTAACTTTTTAGTTGAATCTTTAGGAGTTTCCAAATATATCATCATATCATTTGCAAAAAGAGATAGTTTTTTTTTTACCTCATATCCCATTCTTATTCTATTTTCTTTTTCTTCCTTTATCGCTAGTGCTATCATTTCTAAAATAGTATTGAATAATATCGGTGACACGTAGTATAGTCCCCTGTTTATCCCTTTTAATTAAATCTATTTTAGCTTTAACTTCATCTGAGATCATGATTGCTGTTCCTGATTTTTTGACATCAGCTAAAGCATAATAAATTCTACTCCAGCCCTTTATTCTAACTCTGTATGTATTTCTGATTTTTAATTGTGTTTCTTACAAATGATGTTGTTAGATTCTTATTTTTAATTCATTCTGCTATTCGTTTCCATTTTATGATTGAGTTCATCCCATTCACATTTAAAGTTATAATTCCTGGTGTATTTCCCTTCATCCTATTTTTCCTATTTATCCTTCTCAGTCTATTTATCTTCACCTGTCTAATTTACTTCTAACCACTACCTTACCTTCCTATTCCTTAATCTACCCACTCCTCTAAGAGTCCCTCCTTTACCCTCTCCCTTCACTTTTCATAAATAGTTGTTCCCTGCCCCCTCACCCTCTTATTTCTTTACAAATCTAGAAGACTTTTATACCCCTCTAGATATGTGTGTTGCTCCATCTTTAACCCAGTTCCAATGTAAAGTTCCAATACTACCAGCCCTCCACCCCAACTTGCTTCCTCAGCATCAGTTCTTTCTTTCACATCTCATTTGTATGAGATAATTGCTCCTTTTTACCTCTCCCTACCCAGTTTTATTTTTTAGAATCTATTCATCATACTCAGCTCAGCCCAAGCCTTCTTTTAAAACTACCTAAGTAATGATGACAATTTTAAGGTACAGATAACATTTTCACATAAATGAAATAAATAGTTTGACCTTATTTCTTCCCTTCTAATTGGTCTTTCATGTTTACCTTATGTCTTTCCTGTATCTTATATGCTGAATTTTCCATTGAATTCTGTTCCTTTTGTCACAAATACCTGAAAGTCTTTCAGTTCATTAAATGACCATTTTTTTGTTTTTGTTATTGTTCAGGATTATACTCAGCTTTGCTGGGTAAGTTATTTTGGGTTGCAATCTCAGCTCTTTTGCTTTTCAAAATAAAATGCTCCAAACCCTAGAGTCTTTCAATGTAGAAGCTGTTATTCTTGTGTTATGCTGATTGTACCTTGACTACCTACCAGAGACACAGACAGACAGACAGACAGACAGACACACACGTTGTTTTTTGTTTGTTTGTTTGTTTTGGTTTGATTTGGTTTGGTTTTTTTCTTGTTGCTTGTAGTATTTTCTCCTTAACCTGGGCATTTTGAAACTTGACTATGATATATTTCTGTAAGTTTTCATCCTGAGATCTTTTTCAGGTGGTGATTGGTAGATTTCTTTTTTCCTATTTCTATTTTACCCTCTCATTTTAGAACTTCAGGGCTCTTTGCCTTAATAATTTCTTGTCAGACTCTTTAGGATCATACTTTCAGGTAGTCCAACAATTCTTATAGTGTCTCTCCTTGATCTTTTCTCCAAATTAGTTGTTTTTTTTAGTGAGACGTTTTACATTCTCTTCTATTTTTTCATTCTTTTGATTTTGAAGGAGTTATTTTCTTCCTTAAGATTTTGGATCTCTTTTCCCAATTGGATGCCTTTCTCTTCTTAATTTTCTTGATTTTCTTGGCTCGCTCTTATTTTTTTTCTTTATGTTTTTCCTCCATCTCTCTTGTTTTATTTTTGAAGTCCTTTTAAAGTTTTTCCAAGAACTCTTTTTAAGCTTGTGACCATTTGACATTTCTCTTTAAAGCAGGAGTGACTTTTTTGGCTTCATTTTCTTCCTCAGAATATGAATCCAGATCTCTATCTGCATGGCTGCCGTCTATGTTCAAGTTCTTTCTCCTTTGCTTGTTCATTTGTATTCTTATTTTGTTTTATTTTATTTCTAGCGGCTTATTGTAGTCAGGTTTGAGTTCTGAGGTGCAGGGAGTGGTGCCTCATGCTTCAGGTCCTTCTTCCTATTACTTTCTGTGCTCTGTCAGGGCTGACTTTGGACAATCCTCTGCATCCCTAAGCCATGACTAAGGCCTCCCAGTCACATTGTGCTGAAACGCTCTTGCTCCCTACGGTACTTCCTGTGGCTGCAAACCTCCACTCATTTGTCTGTCCTGGAACTGAAACCAATGACTCTGCTCCCCTACAAGTTCTCACAGCTAAAAAGGTGCCCACTCCTTTGCTACCACATTCACCAGGCTCGTGCTCATTCCTTCTTACCTGCAGCTTCATCCTGGGAAATTTCTGGTCAGCACAGCTTGGCCTGGCATCATGAAACAGAAGAGAGTCTTCCTCTACTCAGCTGTCTGACCCCATACTATCCATAAGGTGAAAGTTTCTGCTGCAGAGGCTGCTACTCCAACCCAGGTGCCCCCAGGACTTGTTTGTTGATTCAGTGGAGTCTGCCTGGAGACGTTTGCTCTTCAATTAGGCCAGGTCTCTGCCCCTGACGGTTGAGTCTTTCCTGAGGTGCTCTCAAACTGATTTAGTTCAACTGCTTTGCCCTGCTTCTATTTATTTCTGCCGTTTTGCATTCACTTTGAGGCAATGTTCCATTTTGTTTTGGGGAAAAATTTGGAGAGCTCAGTATTTTCTGACCTGTACCATCTTCTCAGAATACTCTTCATCTGTCTATATCTATATCTATATCTATATCTATATCTATATCTATATCTATATCTATATCTATATCTATATCTATATCTATATCTAT